CCAAACTGAGGAAAATTTCTGGGGATTAGTCACGCCTGGAGGCGTGGCCAAGGAAATGTCTTTACTCAGTTTCAGGGCAACCAGACTGAAATAACCCACAGCTTGGACTCTCTAAGCAGTGTGCAGGAAACAGTATATCTGCATGGTGGTGAAGAGCGACTGGAAGTAGAGACTCTCTGCCAAGAATGGGCACAACTCCCATATAGGTTAATCCTCTGCCACCTGCTCCTCAAACTGGAAATGACAATCAACTCAGATTACACTATGGGCAATGCAAGCCCATTCAGGACTAGAAGATTCATCAAACCAAACCAAGTGATTGAAGGAGAAGGTTGTTGTAAGTACTTTGAGTGCTTTTAAGCAAGCTCACCAGACTCCTTTCACACAGGACCTATTTAAGGGAAATATAGCCAGCGGCCAGTTGAAGACTACCCCAAGAATCTACATTCTTTGACTGCTCCTATTCTAAGACAGGCAACGGCAGATTTTCCTATCTGACTCTATATTCCAAAATTTTGATGATTGCCATGTTCAATAAATGTCACTGTTATTGGCAAATAACTTTTTAAAATCTTGCATAAATCATGCTATTAAGACTCTGCCAGATCATTAATCTATTACCACTAAAGTACAGTAACTCAAATAAAAACAATATTTCTGCCTGATATAAAAATGTATTCTTCTGGAAATCCTGAGATTCCTCCAAGGCTGCTAAAATTTCTGTTTTGAGAATACAAATGCTGTTTGATTAATTAAAGACTGATGAATAGAGAATTAAAATCTGAGAAATCTGTCAAAATAGAAAGATTGCTTAATTTTTAATAACTAATACTCAAATGGATAGAAAATTGGTAATATAGAACTGGATAATTTCCTTCAACTCAAATTCTTTGGAATCACGAAGCCACTACATGTTTGACTGTCATGTGTTAGAATGGAACATAGCTAGATTCTGGGATTTGTAGTAGTAGAGGTTGAAAGGCTTTTATAAAACATTAATGGAACTGCTCTTCCAATCCTAACTATTTGCCTACTATAAGTAACAAGGAAAAGCAAAACTAAAGTATACAATTGATTAGTCTCATAACTCCAAAAATTCTACCCACATTTTCAGGTAGTGCAAAACAGGGAACATTCAGCTTATGATATATTTCTCACAGATAATCCAAAATCATTATCAGTGCTATTTCCAATTAACACCATTATGTATGTTTAACTGGTCACAGAAAACTTTGAAGATTCTTTTATATTTGTCTGAGGCTCATGATACATACCATTGTGATACTAACTACTGTATGCTGAAAAATTACATGGCAAACAGTGTTCACACATAAAGGGAGAAAAATTGAAATATACCCTAGTTTCCTTCATTCAGAATCATCACAGGTTTTCCTCTAGCATTACTCCAATCATTATTATTTCCAGAACATCCAAGTCCCCTGAATTCAGGCTCCAATAAGACTCAGAGATTATCTTGTCAATACCCTAGCCCAGTGATGGCGAACCTTTTTTGGCTCGCGTGCCAAAAATGGGGGGAGAGCAGGGGGGTCATGCACAGGTGTGTCACACCCATAATGCTATGCGCACGACCCCACTGTGCATGTGTACACGACCAGCATTCTCTCCCCCCAATTTTGGTGGGCTTTCTCCCCCCATCAGCTTCCAGAGGCTTTATAGGAGCCTGGGAAGGGTGAAAACAGCCTCTCCTCCCCCAGAGGCTTCAGGAGCTTCCCCGAAGCCTCTGGAGAGTGAAAAACCAGCCCTATCAGTAAACCGAAAATTTGGGAACGGACTTCCGGTTTGCTTGTAGGTCTGGTTTTAGCCCTCCAGAGCCTTTAGGGACTTTCAGGAAGCTTCCCTGAAGGCTCTGGGGGGCAAAAAATGACCCTATGAGCAAACTTCCAGTTTGTCTGTAGGGCTGTTTTTTGTCCTCCGGAGCCTTCAGGGAAGCCTCCTGAAGGCTTCTGAACACTCCGGAGGGCTACGAGCAAACCCGAAGTCACTTCCGGTTTGCTTGTAGGGTCAGTTTTAGCCCTCTGGAGCCTTCAGGAGGCTTCCCTGAAGTCTGTTCCTCAACTTCCGGTTTGTGCGTAGAGCTGGTTTTTCAGGGAAGCCTTCGGAGGGCGAAAAATGGCCTCAAGGCTGAAGTCAGCTGACCAGTGCGCATGCGCACTGGTCAGTTGTGAGGGCAGCGCCTCGCATGCCCTGACAAATGGCTCAGTGTGCCACCTGTGGCACGCATGCCATAGGTTCGCCATCACGGCCCTAGCCATTTCCTCATTAGACCTCAATGAGAATTTAGTAACATCAGCATTTTCTAAATAAAGAATTGGCAATGTTGATCTTTCAGGTGTTAAACTCCAGGTCCTAACAGCCCTAGCCAATATGGTAAGATATGGAAGATAATGAGAATTACAATCCAACAATATCCACAGGGACATACATTGCTTATTACTCATATCAATCTTTAGTTAACTCAAAGGTAGGGAACTATGGCCCCTTTATGACTTGTGGACTTTAACTCCCAGAATTCCTGAGCCAGCATCAATTTCAGCTTCAACTTTAGAGTTGAAGTCCAAAAGTTGTCAAAGTTCTAAGTAATAGCCCCACAGAAAGCAGAATTCCGAGACAGTTTCCTCAAAGAAAAGTTTTATTAGAGATATCATATTGGCACAAACTGGTGAAAATGACTCTGAAAGTTCCTGCGGTTTTCACCTGATTAAAAAGGTGAAAGTTCCCCCTTTCCCCAAACAATCAGTCACATTGTCCAATCAAAGTGCTGGCTGGTTACCTAGTTACTTCACCCCTTCTTCCCCAGCCACCTGTTGGAATGTCCTTGGTTCCCACAGAAAACTATTTTGTTGTAGCTACAAAAACCCCATCTAATTATTTCCCCCCTCCCTATCCCTTCTTCGCATTGTGGCAAGACTCCAAAATGGCCCCAGTCAGGTTTGCTTCAGGGTTGACACAGGTCATAAAAGAGGCATCGTTCCCTACCCCCGAGTTAGCTAATCTAACTCCACATTACACATCCATATAGAGGAAAATAATCCTGGTAAAACTAAAAAGATTTTAGATTTTATTTGTCTATGTTAAAAGAACGATCATAGTTACCCATCTATAGATCAGGTATCTCTCATAAAGATATCATGGAAGTCATAAAATCATGAGGCATGTTTATCAATTGGCTTTTAATATTCTCTAAAATCACACCTCTGCAGTAGTCCAAGAGCACCTATATCTATTTTGGCAAGAAGATCCTTGGATTGTGGAAGAAAACATATACCACCAGAACCACTATCCTGACACTTATCATTCTGGTGACTGCTGATGGGATACTTGAGATGAAAGAACCTCAATCCTCCTTATTAACTGCAACATAAAACAAAAATAAAACAAAATCACACACTAGCACTAGCACTGAAGGTTAAATATGTGCTTCTCTTTATGCTACTGTGCTCTGAACTGCCTCTGAGCATCATCTTTACCATACACCACTAATGATCAAGATGATACTGTCTGGGAAACTATATATCCCAGGGAAATATAAATATCTACTGAGAATTCTAAAATTTCAGCCACCCCTAAAATGTCTTGTCTGATTCTATCGACTCTGGGTAGCTAAATCAGTTCTCATTAAAGTATTGTCCTGTTATGTTCCAAAGAAATGGCATTCTTTTACCAAAAAAGAAACAAATTATATTGCAGGGCATATTAAACAAGAGCAAATTGATATGAAATCATTGTATTTTTCAGGTTTAATCACTTTCTACACAATTCAATGCTATTACTATAATTTCATTTTCTAAGATTCCTAATGAAAGGAATAAGAGTTAAAGTATTCCAAATGCTACAGATTACTCTAGATTGACTTAATTAATTCAAGGAGTTTATAGATTAAAAATCTAACTGCATGTTTGCCATTTTAAGCAATAACTTTGAAAGAAAATGAACATGAACCAATGTTAAATTGTGATATTTACATTAAAATGATCAAGTAAGATTTCTCAATGTTAAAAATGTTTTGAACATTTAACCGACAATTAAGATGTTAGTTTTTTTAAATAGTTATTATTTACCTTCAAATAAACTGAGGTCTCTTCGTAGCCTTGATCCATAAAGCCCTTCTAAAATACTTTCAAAGCCTAACAAAAAACAAAAATTAAACATTTTACTATACAGTATATCAAATAGTTTCATAAATGTAGCAGCTGAAAATTACTGCATAAGCACATTGTTACAGAAAAGGAAATGTTTCTGGATACAGGTAGTTCTTGGTTTACGATCACAATTTAAGTTGCTAAGTGAGACATTTGTTAACTGAGTTTTACCCCGTTTTACTACCTTTCTTGAATCACTACAGTTGTTAAAGTTAGTAACATGGTTGCTAAGTGAATCTGACTTCCCCATTGTCTTTGCTTTTCAGAAGGTAGCAAAAGATGATAAATGGACCTACAAATTGCAACCATCACACATGTGTCAGTTGCCAAGCACCTGAATTTTGATCAGATGACCATAGGGATGCCATGATGATCGCAAGTATGAAAACAAATAATAACTAACTTTTTTCAGTAATATTGAAAGTTTGAACAATCATAAAATGAACTGTTGTAAATTGAGGATTACCTTTACAGAGAATTCAAAGAAAAACTCGATCTAAAACAAACTCAATTTCTGTGAGGGCCACATCATCATTATGGCTGCCCTAAAAGGGCGAGGTGCATGTAAGACTATGATGAATCACGCGGCTAAGTGAGCATGGCTGGGTAGGCATGGCTGGTGGAATGCTGCTCACTAGGCACGGCTGACTCAGGTTGTCTGGGTTGCAGCAGAAAAAGTTGCACTTGCTAGCTCGACTTGGGGACAATTTGGTGCCCCATAAGCTCCTTAGATTAGATTTAGATTTAGATTTATTTATTTATAGGCCGCCCTTTTCCCTGAGGGGACTCA